CATATGGATGATAATGGAATAGTTTAGGTTAGATGGGCTTCAGATTGTTGCGCCGACCTGTGAAACCATCGAGGGTCGAAGGGCCTGTACTGCGCTGTAATGTTCTATGTTCTACTTGCCCTGCCTTATTTTTTAAGAGGAGGTTGAGTTTTGCCACTTCTCCAGTACAGCCATCTACATATTGATTGAGAAAGTTTTCTTCAACACACTTCAATTCCTCCCCATCCAGGCCTTTAACGCTACAGCAGTCCCAGTCTATGTTTACAAAGTTAAAACCCCCTACTATTACAAACCTATGATTCTTACAGATGTGACATTCCTACATATTTGCTCCACAATTTTCGACTGATTATTGGTGGGGGGCCTATACTACAATCTCAAAGTGATCACCCCTTTCTTGTTTCTGAGTTCCACTTCATTGGACAATCCCCAGGAACATCTTCTCCAAGTACAGCTGTGATGGTTTCCTAATCAAAAACACCTCCCCCCGCTCTCCTGTCTCCCATTCTATCCTTCCTATAGCATCTGTACCGTGGAACATTGAGCTGCCAGTCCTGACCCTCCCTCAGCCATGTTTCTGTAATAGATAAGATATTGCAGTCCCATGTTCCCATCCATGCCGAGTTCATCTGCCTTTCCTGTTAGGCCTCTTTCATTGAAATAAATGCAGTTTAATTCACAACTCTTCCCTCATTCCCTGCCATGCCCTTGCCTGCCTTGTCTATTTAAGTTGCTCTCTTTAACTCCTGTACCAGCCTCAACCTTTTTTCTTGTCTCACTACTGCTGAGGGACTCACTCCCTCTGCCAGACTAGTTTAAACGTTCCTGAGTAGCTCTAGCAAATCTCTCTGCCAGGATATTGGTTCCCACTCCAGTTCAGGTACAACATATTCAGAGTGTTCTGGTCACTTCTGCCCCAGAAGAGATCCCAATGGTCCAAAAAATCTGAAACCTTGCCCCCTGCACCAGCTCCTCAGCCACCCATTCAGCTGCCCTATCTACATATTCATTCTCTCACTAGCACATAACGTCAGGAGTAATCTAGATATTACTAACCTCGAGGTCCTGCTTTTTAATCTCCTGCCTAACTCCCTATATTCACTCTGCAAGACCTCATCCCTTTTCCTACCTATGTCAATGGTACCAATGTGTACAATGACCTCTGGCTGCTCACACTCCTTTGAGAATTTACAGAAACTACTGAGACATCCTTCACCATGGCACTAGGGAGGCAAAACACCATCTTGGAGTCTCGTTCGCATCCGCAGTCTATGTCCCCGACTAGAGAGTTCCCTATCACAATTGCTCGCTTGGATTTTGCCGTAGCCTGCTTTACAGCATAGCTTTTTGTGCTGCAATGACCTGGCTGCTGCTGCTACTATTTTACCCTGAGAGGCTATCCCCCTAACAGTACCTCATTTTTCTAAATTCCTGAGAGTAGAATCCCAGCCTGTTTAACCTTTGCTCATGACTATCACTCTGCACCAGGGATCATCCAAGTGAACCTTCTGTCAATTGCTTCCAATCAAATATCTTTCCTTAGAAAAGGGGACCAAAACTTCTCTCAGTACTCCATGAAAAAAAAATGATCTGCAGATGCTAGAAATCTGATACGAAAACAGAATTGCTGGAAAATCTCAGCAGGTCCAGTGACCGCTCTTCAGAGCTGCACCCAAAACATTAACTCTATTTTCTCTCCACAGATGCTGCCAAACCTACTGAGATTTTCCAGCAATTTTTGTTTTTGTCACAGCACTTCAGATGTGGCCTCACCAGCATTTTGTACAGTTGTAGTAAGACTTCCCTGCTCTTATACTCCAACTCCCTAGAAATAAGGGCCAACATTCCATTAGCCTTCCCGACTACCCACTCCACCTGTGTGCCACGTTTGAATTTTATGCACAAGCACGCCCAAATCCCCATGCGTTGCAGCTTTCCGCAGTTTTTTCTCCATTTAAATAATACCGTTCTTTTGTTCTCCCTTCCAAAAACAATTTCACATTTTCCCACATTAGACTGTATTTGCTAACCTTTTGCCCACTTGCTTAATCTATTAATATCTCTACGGGTAAGCCATTTGTATCCCTGTTGCAACTTGTCTTTCCACCTATTTTTCTGTTGTTTGCAAATTTTACTGTTGTTTGCAAATTTTACTATAGTACCTTCACTTTGTTCCTTCAAATCATTAATATATATTGTAAACAGTTGCAATCTCAGCACTGATACTTGTGGAACTCCACTGGTTATTGGTCACCAATTTGAAGAAGAACCCTTTATTCCCACTGGCTGTTTCCTGCCCATCAGCCAATTCTCCATCCATGCCAATATACTACATCCAACACCATCTTATGGCAAACTTTTTTTTGAGGTACTTTGAAGCCTTCTAGAAGTCTAAACAACATATCTGTTTCCCCTCTATCCACTGTGGCTGACTCTTCCTCAAACACTCATAAGTTAGTCACATGGAGCTTTTACCAGACATTGAAGAGTTAATAAGGTTTTAGTTCACTCAGAGATAACACTGCATGGAGTATGGTGATGGAGTTCAAATTACATTGTTGCTCCCGCATAGGATGTAGGAGAGGGAGTTACAAAAGTTAGATCCTATGTAAAGCACCTGTAATGGACGTGTTGGAATTCAATCTAGAAGCAGGGGGAAATCACACCAACAAACTTGTATCTTGAATTTTGCTGACTCTTTCAAGTGTTATGGCTGCTGCACCCATCCAGATGAGGGGTAGGTATTCACTTACATTCCCCACTTTAGTACTTTCTGGTGAGCATCTGAAGATTAGGAGTACCTCAAGTCTAACTGAATTTAGTTACGCTGCATATACTACTGGTCTATGTTCAAATTCTGGGCAGTGGTGGCATGATACCTGAAGCAACAGATAGTCGAAACTAGAATGCTTCAAGGGACTATAGTAGTAATGTCCTCGAGCTGCAAACAAACAACACCGCAAATCTTTGTGTCCAGCATCCAAAGAATTTTCCTTTTTACCTCTCCCACTGATTTCAATTTTTCTAGGGCTTCTTGGTGCTATATCTTTTGTTACAGTTGATGTTACTACTTGACAAGTCAGATCCCAAAATGAAATCTGGCCTGATTGCCACTTAAAACTAATCTGTCTTTCACTAAAACACAAGTTCACAAGGAATTGGATCTTGATTTAAAACTAAAACAAAAGTCTATTATATAAGAGAAGTTTCAGAAAGCTTTCTACGTATAACATGGTTTGAAAAACTTCAAAACACACCGCAAAACTAAATCCCAACTTCTCCCCAACAACCTTACTTTACAGGTACTCAAAAAACGAATACATTTCCCCCCTCCGCCATCCAGAGATTTGACTTAACTTTTCTTTCCTCAGTTTCTGTCCTATGAGCTATGAAGCCGTTTCCTTGAATCCTCACATAGTAGAGATTTGACTTTCTCAGCTTTGAATAAACAACACTCCTTATCTCTAAGTTTTCACAAACAATACTGAGTTAATTTATTTCTTCATTGTCTGAACAATCTCCTTTTTAAAAAAAGCCTACACTTACATCTAACTTCAGTCAGGTCTCCTGTGAACTGCCCCTTTCTACACTCTAGGTTTACTCTAAGCTAAAATCAATACTTTATTCTAAAGCCAAAAGCAAGTAACATCTATCAATGCTTTTTCTCTCTATCATAACCCCCACAATATAAACAAACTCTCATTAAAGCTCTGGGAGACTTTCAGTCATCTACACTGACACATATTGGTTTAATATCATGGCTCCTGAAAAACTGTTCTGGTTAACTTTAAACCACTTCACAAAAATAGAGTAATGCCCATATGTCACTAAAACTCAAACTCTAACAAAAAAATGATTAACATAAATCACACACCTTTCATCACACTGTTTGAAAGTTGCCTTCATGGAAGAACAGCTATTCTCTCTTCTCTTATGGCACTTAATTCTTCTGTCTAATGATAGAAAATTAGACAGTGGACATAAAAAGGGAAACTTTCAAACAGGAAATGAACAAGGTAGAAATAAAGCATACTTACATAAACAGTAAATTAATTTCATAAACGCTAACTTGCCTTTGATGAACATTAAAATTAAACTGTAGCTTAAAAAACCATAATCCAATTCTAAAGTGAAGGATGCAACACAATATAAAAAAAGAGACAAAGTGAATTAGCAGACTAGAAAGTCTAGGAAAGGTTGTGCCACAAATTTTCTATACACATTAGAAATTACAGTCAGAACTACAAGACAGAAAAGAAAATATTCATGTAGGTGTGAAAAAATGTCAGAGATATACATAAACTTTGCCCTGATTGTCAGAATGTGCCAAACAATAAATCACAATTTAAAACAGATTGTTTAAAGAACTCTTTCTTAGAAATTGAAAGCTATTGTTTCAGATTTCAGAGGGAAACTTGACTTAACAGACCTTAAGTTTTATTTTTATATTTGGTTCTCACGTCATCAGTCACTAACCATATTCATACAAGGCTGTCACTTTATTTTTAACCAAGGAGCACACGTTTAATAAACAAAAGAAGAAAAAAACCAAAAACTACATAAGACATTTTGAAAAGATCTTATCATAAAAAGTATCAACTTTTTTTTCCTAGCAATATCCCTTACGGACATACAACTCCAGTGAAGTATTACTCTATCCTCACATTAATTATTTTTGTAAAGGCTGTCTTTAGCTCACAGTGCCAAATGTTTTTGTGACAATCTCTTTAAACGGCTTGAACAGCACAGAAAATTAAAACGCTATTTACCTCTGCTTTACAATCTAAGTTCCCAAAAATAACAGGCTTTCACCACAGTGTCCATGTATCTTCCTTTTATCTTGTACCTTATGATTCTATATCATAGTTAGAGGAACATCATTGACCTCAGCACTTTCTAGGTTAAGGAGAAAATAGTGTCACCTTGGTATCTTACCAAAGCAAACCAGGATAAATGCCAAGATCTTGACTTGGTCTCACACTAAAACAACTATGATTTACCTTTAAAAGTCGTTTAATAAGTGCCTTGTCTTTGTGCAAAAATGTTTTGTAAGACGTGTAGATACCTTTTGGAAAACAAAAAAAGAGAAAATCTGTTTTAAATTACTTTTACACATTTTCTTTGAGAGAGAAGCAAAGTCTAATTACAGATGAGCTATAGCAAGCAGGCTGCTATATACTAATGGAGATTTTGCCAGCAAGTAGCTGATTGGTCTGTAAAATGCTGACCAGTTGGTGATGACGAAAGCGTTCTGCCTCTCAACAATTGAGAGATTGGCTCCTAGGTAACTGATCAGTTCAGGCATGTGAATGTTTGGAAAAAGCTCCTTCAAAAGGGAAGGAGCTGTCCCCTTCTCTGCATTAAAAACAAACATCTCGTGTCCCGTCAGCAGTTATTATAAGCTGTGTATTTTTTTTTTTTTAAAAACCTGTAAGATCAGAGAACAAAAAAAAAAACGAAGAATGAACAAAGAAAATTGCAGCACAGGAACAGGCCCTTCAGCCCTCCAAACCTGCACCAACATGCTGCCTGTCACAACTAAAACCCCCTACCCTTCTGGGGACTGTATCCCTCTATTCCCATCCTATTCATGTATTTGTCAAGACGGCCTTTAAAAGTCACTATTGTACCTGCTTCCATTACCTCCCCCAGCAAGTTCCAGGCACCCACCACCCTCTAAAAAACTTGCCTCGTACATCATCTTTAAACCTTGCCCGTTGCACCTTAAACATATGGCCTCTGGTAACTGACTCTTCCATCTTGGGAAAAAGCTTCTGGCTGTCCATTCTGTCCATGCCCTTCATAATCTTGTAGACCTCTATCAGGTCACCCCTCAACCTCCATCATTCTAGTGAGAACAACCAAGTTTGTCCACATCTCCTCATAGCTAATGCCCTCCATCCTGGTAAATCTTTTCTGTACCCTCTCCAAAGCCACCACATCCTTCTGGTAGTGTGGCAACCAGACTTGAACACAATATTCTAAATGCAACCTAACTAAGGTTCTATAAAGCTGCAACATTACCTGCCAATTTTTAAACTCAATGCCCCGGCCGATGAAGGTATGCATGCCATATGCCTTATGTGAACCAGCTTCCCTATGCCTCTTGCATGCTAATGCAAGTAGTCAGAGAAGTAATATCTGTAGCAGCATGTCCCAACAAGCCAAAAAGGGTCATCTCAGTGGACAGGAACCATTGAACTGCTTTCTAAGTCATTCCCTCTGTCCATGAGGCCCATTTTTGAAAAAACAGTGTCTGTCTGTGTGTGTGTTGAGGCAGTTTGTAAAAGATTAGCATTCGAACTAGGAGAGTTGTATGTCAACTGATCATAATTGTTTACCTATAGCAAGAATTTATTTATCTATAATAAATAGAAACATGGCCTGTGCTTACTATCAACCAAAGTCTAATAGAAAGACAAATCAGGGAATTCTGCTTACTTTTCAAAGTCTTTAATTTTTGTGACAGCAGCAGAAGTAGTGGGGCTTGATTCTCAGCACACTACTCCAGTGGGATACAACATGGAAGAAAGCAATTGTTTTTAGACTGTTTACAGTCTGAATATTATTGTATTCCTTTAAAAAGACTTAAAATTAAAATATTCAGGAAGTATTACTGAGACTAGCAGATAAAAACTTTAAAAGGAAAATGGATGACTCTCTCAAAACTACAGCAGCAGTTTGCCCCTTATCTTCTCACAGGTTAAAATATACTAATCAAAAGAATGGTTAGCAATAGACAATGACTAAACTAAACTAAACTTACGGAAGAGGTCAGTGATAAATGTGACGGAATGGATACCAAACCAGGGTTAGAGGATACATTTGTCATGGACAATGAGGGAGAATGTGTCAATGATAAACTTAGAGATATAAGAAAACACCAACATTGTGGTAACCAAAACAGCAACGGAATGTCCTTTTAGTAATGGGCTGTGTAAAAGAAGGCACTTGGTAATAGATGAGATAGCTTGTAAAATCCCAATGGACCAACCAAATTATAAATTTTTTTAAAATTCACTCACGGGATTGCAGGTGCCGCTGGCTAGATTAATCACCCTATGGGCAGTTAAGAGTCAACCACATCACTATGGGTCTAATGTTAGGCCAGACCAGGTAAATATGACAGTTTCCTTCCCTAAAGGACATTAGTGAATCTGATGGGTGTTTCCGATTGGCAGTGGTTTCAAGGTCATCGTTAGACTCATACTTCCAGATTTTTATTCATTTAGAATTCTACCACCATCTGCTGTAGTGGGATTCAAACACAGGTCCCCAGAATATTACCTGGGTCTCTACATTAATAGTTTTGCAATCTTACCACTAGACCATGCCATTAACATCTGTCCTGGCGTTGATAGCCCATATGAAGAATTCATTGTTACACGATCTTTTTTTTTTGGGAGAGGTGTGGTGGTGGTGGTGGTGGGTGGGGAAGGAGGTGGCGGCGGTGCCATAGTCCATACCAATTCACTTGTTCCAGACTGGCAATTAAGCCTTCTGTTTACTGAGAGCAGGCCCTTGCCTATGAATGTATGTTGCTTCTGGCAAGCATAAATGAGCCACATTTAATAAAAACCTAGAATTAAGAGTCTAATAGTGATCATGAAACGTCATTGTTGATTGTCAGAAAAACCCATATGGCTTGCTAATGTCCTTTAGAGAAGGAAATCTATGATCCTTACCTGGTCTGGTTGACATGTGACTCCAGATCCACGGCAATGTGGAAGACTTTTAATTGCTCTCTGAAACCGCCTGGCAATGTATCAAATAACAACCATTACAAAGTTTCTGAATAGAAATGAAACTGGATGGCCAACTGGCATCAGCTCAGGCCTCAGAAAAGAAAACAGCCCTGTTGATCCTGCTTTCTTGGGTACGCTTGGGAGCCTGTGCAATAATTGGGAGAATGGTCTCAGACTAGAATGCTCATGAAATCATACTTTACAGACAATGCCCCAGACACCCCACCAGCAAGACAGGCAAGCACAGTGAGATAAGTTGGGAGGGAGTTGCCCTGGGAGCCCTCAAAATTGACTCTGGACACCATAAAGTCTCATGGTATCGATTCAAACATGAGCAAGGATATCTCCTGCTGATCACCACAGTGTCCAGTAGCTGATGAATCAGCACCGAGCGTGTCAAGGGCATAGAAATGTACTCTGAGTGGGGAATTTTGATTTCCACCATGTGGATTAGGGTCAACACGACTGATAAAGTGGTTGACTCCTAAAAGGCATTGCTGCTAGACTGGATCTGCAACAAGTGATGAGGGAAACAAGCAGGAAAAACATACATGACCTCATTCTCATCAATCTGCCTGTTGTAGGTGCATACATCCATGACAGCATCAGTAAGAGTAACCACTACAGAGTATGTGTGGAGAAATCACTAACTAGACCTCAGTTGCAGCATTATATGCAGTTCTGGGCACTACACTTTAGGAATTATTTCATGGCCTGAGAGGGGTTGCAAAGGAAGGTTAGTGGAATTTTCCTGGAGATGCAAGGCTTCAGTCACACGGAGAGACTAGAAATCCTCTTGTTATTCTCTTTGAAACAACATGGGTTAACAGGACATTTGATAGATGTGTCCAAAGATCAGGAAGGGCCTTCAGAGAAACCATTTCCACTCGAAGGGTTGTTAGTCAAAGGGTACAGTTTAGGGTGACTGAGGGAAAGAAGAAAACTAGGTGATGTATGGAAGAGAAAAAAAAAGTCAAAAACAATGATTTAATTGTGCTGCCTTAAATGGTGATGGAAGCAACTTCAATTGCAGCTGAAAATGGGATTAAAAATGGAGGGAAAGATTTACAAGACTGTGGGGGAAGAACAAGGCAGTGGGACTAATTGGGTTACTTCATTAAAGCACATGCAGACATGCTAGGCCAAATGGCCTTCTGCACTGTATCATTCCTTTATTCAATGATGAAAGTAATTGATTTCTTATTATTGTCATCCAAGACTTCAGTTGTTGGGGTTTTTATCTGGCTCATTTATCTCAGGGTAAGAGGAGTTACTTTCATTGGTAACTCTTCCAGCGCTTTAGAGGTACAATCTATTGCCTAATCTGTCTTTCACAACTTGTAGGAATCATGATTTCCGACCCTCTTATTTCTGTTGGTTCAATTACAAAATCCGCTAAAGAGAAATCAGACCGATCTGAGAGGTGTGGAATATCATTGGATCATGTCTGCCTCACTGCACCACCCAATTCTCATCAGGAGGTAATCTTCGTTGTCTGGACTGAATTTGAACTCATTTTTCAAAAGTGAAAGATCAGTGAATGTCTGTTCGTGATACTCCATCTTAACTTTCAGAAACTCCTTTTCTACAGTCTAACAAGCTGAAAAATGACTTGGAGAATGATCCCAGTCCAAAGAATTGAAACATAGAATTCTTAAGAGGCTTGACAGGGTAAATGCAGAAAGGATATTTTCACTCATGGGAGAACTTTGGACCAGAAGGCATAGCTTCAGAATTAGGAGGCACCAATTTTAAACTGAGACAAGGAGGAATTTCTTCTATCAGAGAGTTGAGCGATTTTGGAACTCTTTGCCACATACAGTTGTGGGGGCAGAGTCCTTGTGCATATAATAAAGACTACTGATCAAGAATCAAGCCAAGTCAAGGGTTATAGGGAAATGACAGGAAAGTGGATGTCAAGAGTGTCGGATCAGCCATGCTCTTATTAAATGGCAGAACTGTTGACAGCCCGAATGGTCTATTCATGTCCCCATTTCTTATGGTCTAAAAGGAGATTTCCAGTACCTGGTTTTGTGTCTAGTGTCCTAAGCTTCATCAGTTTCTTGACTTTAATTTGTTTCGGTAAATCACCTGAAAAAAAAGGAAGATTGCCAAGTTAAAGGTTATGTTTCAAAGGGAATTCAATAACCTCTTAAGTATGGAGCTCAAATTAAATTATAGTATATCAATGAGAATATGTGACAGACTGCAAAACTACACAAGCTTGAAGCATGCACAGAACAGGCAGAAGACATGGGGCAGAAGGCAGACACGTTCTATACTCGCAAACTGGAACAAGATGATGGCGCAACTGAATTCTTCAGTCCACGTGATACAAGGGTGACTGGCTGAATTTGATTTTCAGATGTAAAGTCTATCTCCTTATTTGATTAGGCTTCCTGCTTGTGGAATACTTGCTCAAACAGCAATAACTAAATGCTAGCTGTCTAATAACAGGAGAATGAGCCAGTTGTGAGTTGCAAAGGTGCTGCTTCTGCTTCTGCTTCTTAAATGTATTAAAAAGGTTTGGGTTCTACGGAGGATATTTCCTTGATTATCAGAGAACAGCTCCAATTAGCTGAAAAAAATAGCTGAAAAATAGGAAATTAGCTTCATTCTGTTTGGTAAGTTTATGGAGTATGTCTCTGTGGAACCACAGGTGTTTTCTTGTGTTAATTATTACAGCAGTCCAAAACCTGATCTTATCTCCCACTTTATTTAAAGCCTTGCACACTTCTTCACTTCAATGTCAATCAAATATTCTGTCTTACTTACTCCAGACAGAAAACAATTCTGTACTCTCTATAATGAACAACTTTTACAAGCCTAGCTTTCTCCTGAGATAATCTTGAATTGATAATTCCGCATCACTCATCATAGACAAAACAAATAACATTTCCTTAATCACCTCAGTAAAAGTGTTCATAATTTTAAAAAACCTCTATCAAACATTCTTAGCAACAGTGAAAAAAGTGTGTCACGATTTATCTCCATAAATAGATCCTGATGTCATCTGACTTGCATTTCCTAAGTACACTGTCATCATTACACAGCATTCACCTGTATCCTAATCCTTCCCAGAACAATAGGGCTGTCCTTACTTTCCACCCCACTAGCCTCCACATTCAAAGAACCATTCTCCACCATTTCTGCCATCTCCAGCAGGATGCCACCACCAAACAAGTCTACTTATCCCCTCCACTGTTAGCATTCTGCAGGGACTGTTCCCTCTGCGACAACATGATCCACTCCTCCATCACTCCCAACTTCCCAACTCCTCGATAGCACCTTCCAATGTAATCACAAAAGGTGCACCCTTGCCCACTCATCTCCTCCCTCCACAATGTCCAAAGCCCTGAACACGTTTTCAAGGTGAATCGGTCTTTTACTTGTACTTCTTTCAAATTAGTTTACTGTTTTCACTGCTCAAGTGAGACCAAACAGAGTAGCCCCTTTGTGGAACATCTCCACTCTGTCCGTAGGAATGACCCTGACCTTCCAGTTGCTTGTCACTGCACAAAAAAAAAAACACACAACACGTTGCTTTCATGCTAACATTTCGGTCCTACTACAATGTGTCAAAGTTGAACACAAATTCAAAGAACAACACTCATTTTCCACTTAGGCACTTCCCAGCCTCAAGGACTCAATAACGAATTTCGCATCTTTATACCTGGTCTCATGACACCTGGCCTGCATTTTTCTTGCATTCTTTTCAGCCCCCGAACTTTTTTTTTTTAAAAAAAAACTTGGCTTTCAGCCTTTTCACACCTTAATTTATACCCATTTTACATCTCTCCTTTCTTTCAAGCCAATTAGCAACCCTTTTGACTTTTGTACTGGATCTCCACAAAATTTGTTCCCTTTGCTCTTTTCCCTGCTTCCGTCAAAAGAATAACAACCACCATTTTCCAACCCATTCAACTAGAGAGCAAGCTGAATATTGTGTAATGAGAAGATTAATTAGCAACATCGTGGTGCGAGATCTTTTGGGGAAGAGTGACCACAATACAGTAAAATTCTTCATTAACATGGAGAGTGACACAATTAAATCTGAAAGTAGGGTCCTGAACTTAAAGGCTAACTTTGATGGCATGAGGCATGCATTGGCTAGGATACGCTGGCCAAAGATACTCAAGGGGTTGATAGTGGATAGGCAATGGTAGACATTTAAAAAAATAAATGGATGAACTTCGACAAATGTATTTCTCTGTCTGGCCTAAGAGTAAAGTAGGAAAAGTGGCTCAACCATGGCTAACAGGGGAAATCAGGGATAGTATTAAAGCCAAAGAGGAGGGCACAAAAATTGGCCAAAACAGCAAACCGGAGGACTGGGACAAAATTTAAAATGCAAAGGAGGACAAAGGTTTCAATTCGCAAGGGGAAAATAGAACATGAAAATAAACTTGCAGAAAACATAAAAACTGAGTGCCAAAGCTTCTATACATGAAAAGAAAAAAAAAAAAAACACTGATGAAGACAAATGTAGGTTCCTTACAGTTAGAATCAGGTGTATTCATAATGGACAAAGATGGCAGACCAGTTGAACAAATACTTTGGATCTGTGTTTGCTAAGGAGTATACAAATAACCTTCAGGAAATGCTAGGGGGCAGAGGGTCAAGCACAAAAAAGGAACTGAAAGGAAATCCTTATCTGGAAATGGTATTGGGGAAATTGAAGGGATTAAAACCTGATAAGTCCCCAGGGCCTAATGCTCTGCATCCCAGAGTACTTAAGGAAGTGGCCCTAGAAATAGCATTGGTGATTTTCCAGCATTCTGTAGACTCTGGAAGAGTTTCAATAGACTGGAGGGTTGCTAATGAGAATAATGGGGAATTATAGGCCAGTTAGCCTGACATCAATGGTGGGGAAAACGCTGGAGTCAGTTACTAAGAATATAATAACTGAGCATTTGGAAAGCAAAGCAGTGACAGAATCTGTCCTAGTCAGCATGGATTCACTGAAAAGAAAAAGATGCTTGACAAATCTTCTGGAATTTTTATTTTTGAGGATGTGACCAGTGATGGACAAGGATGAATCAGTAGATGTTGTGTATCTGGACATTCAAAAGGCTTTTTGACAAAATAGCACACAAGAGATTAGTAAGGAAAATTAATACTCATGGTATCGTAGATAATGTATTGACATGGATAGAGGACTGGTTGGTAGACAGGAAGCAGAGAGTTGGAATAAACAGGTTCCTTTCAGAGTGGCAGGCAGTGACAAGTGAGGTGTCGCAGGGTTCAGTGCTGGGACCCCAGCTGTTCACAACATACATGAACAATTTGGATGAAGGAATTGAATACAATATCTCCAAATTTGCAGATGACACCAAGCTGGATGGAAGTGTGTGCTGTGAGGAGGATGTTAGGAGGCTGCACGGTCATATGGACAGGATGGGTGAGTGGGCAAATACAATATAAATGTAGATAAATGTGAGGTTATCTACTGTGGTTGCCAAAAAAAAAAAAGCAGATTATTATTATCTGAATGGTGGCAGTTTATGAAAAGGTGAGGTGCAACAAGACCCAAGTGTCACATTGGAACAGTCACTGAAGGTTGGCATGCAGGTGCAGGAGGAAAGCTAATCCCATGCTGGCCTTCATAGTGAGACAATTTCAGTATCAGACCAAGGATGCCTTGCTACAGTTATACAGGACCTTGGGGAGGCCACACCTTGAGTACTGTGCGCAGTTTTGGTCTCCTAGTCTGAGGAAGGACATCCTTGCTATTGAGGGACTCTAGCAAAGGTTCACCAGACTGATTCCCGGGATGGCAGGACTGACATGTGAGGAAAGAGAGGAAAGACTGGATCGACTGGGCTGTACTCACTGGAATTTAGGAGAATGGAAGGGGGGTCTCAGAAACACAAAATCCTGATGGGACTAGACAGGCTAGATGTGGGAAGAATGTTCCCAATGTTGGGAAAGTTCAGAACTAGGAGTCACAGTCCAAGAAATACGGGTAAGCCATTCAGGACTGAGATGAGGAAGAATTTCTTTACTCAAAGTTGTGAACCTATGGAATTCTCTCCTACAGGAAGCTGTTGGGGCCAGTTCAATAGATATCCTCAAAAGGGAGCTGGACATGGCCCTTGTAACCAAAGGGATCAAGGGGTAATGAGAGAAAGCAGGAATGGGATACTGAGATTGCACGATCGGCCATGATAATATTGAATGGTGGTGCAGACTTGAACAGCCAAATGGCCTACTCCTGCATCTAGTTTCTATGTTTCTTTGTTTCAGTTCCGAAAAAAAGAGTCATACCAGACTCAAAACGTTAACTGTTCCCTCTCCACAGATGCTGCCAGACCAACTGAGGTTCTCCAGCATATTTTATGTCTGTTTCCAATTTCCAGTATCCACAGCAGTTGCTTTTATCCTCATTACTTCTCTCTCTAAAGGGGCAATGATTTGATATTGGTCCTATGTCTTTCTTAAATTGGGCTGGGTTAGTACTGCATTTAGTTTTGGGCAACATACTTTAGGAAGGAACATTTAAGCCTTAGCATATGCAGATTGAATACAGTAATACCAGTGCCTAAACAGTTAGGTTACAAAGACTGGATGTATAAATGTTGTGTGTATTTCCTGGAGTTCAGAAGACTTAGGGATGGACCAATCGCAGAGCCTGACATTACCTCAGGATTTAATAGGTTAGATAGAAATAAATATGTTCTCTGGTGGGAACATCTCGAACAAGATGGCATAAATTTAAAGTTAGGGCTATGCTCTTCAGTTATAAAATTGGGCAGCAAATTTTCACTCACAGGTAAAGAAAATCTGGAAATCTCTTCCCTTAAAATCTGTTATATTGGGAGACAATCAGAATTTTTAAGACAAGGGGCGGTTTGTTCAGAAAGGATATCAAGGAATCCGGGGAGAAGGTTGGTAAATCTAGTTAACATACTGACTGTCAGAACGAGCTTGAGGGACGATTCAGGTGCTCCTATTGCCCTTGAGTGCCAAATATTACATTTGGAAAATAACAGTTTTTTGTCTTTATCTGGCTATTTGTTTCCACATAACTCTATGATGTGCAGAACTGCAATAATTAGAATACACAACAGTTTCTGCCAAATTGAATGTTGTAATAAGCTTGAGGGGCTAAATAGCCTACTAGTTTCCAAGTTCTAACAAAATCAGACAAAAAGAATGGATACTTAATCAGCATACCAGACATGTCACAATATGTAAAATGATTCATCACTCATTTACCTCAAACTAGAAAAAGGTTTGCTGAACCTATTATCATGAACACAGTATTAAGCGCACATATTTGAGAGATGTGTTCCCTAACAATTGGTTATGCTCAACATTCGCTCCTTACCTGACATTTTCACTTCTCCAATACGAATAATGTGCGGCCAGTGCTGGAACGTTTTGATGAAGAAAGGATTTGTCACACCCAAGATAACATTCGGCCTAGTAAAAATAAATCATAACACCAAACTTGGAATAAAGTGCAAGGAGTGCTTAAAATAACCCATTTGAGATATGGTGCTTCAGGATTGAAGCATTAGGGAATATGCAGATGAAAGATTGTTACAAAGTTTTCTAAACATCTAGTTTAAACTTAAAAAGGATTGGCTTTCTATTAATGTGTCAACAAATGTACTAGTTAGTACATTTGAATATAAAGAACCTTTTTCTAGATTATTATTCCTCTCACATGCATGGACTGGAGGCAGTAATAAAAGCTAGCATTTGTACAACGTACTTCAAAACTTCTATTTGTTGCTATCCAGTCACTACGAAGTATGAGATGATGGTTTATTGATAGTTCTTCCTCCACTTTTTCTTGTCTTCCTCCCAAGAAGGATTTGGCTCTCAACTTTCTCTCATTGCATACAGCACCAATTATCTCTCAAGAGATCAAAATTTCTAACTGCATTAACTAGCATTTTCTGTTTTCATTTAAGAGCTTGAAAGTTTAACTTGCATTTGGAGGACCAGAATTAAAAGCAGTGCATGGGACTTGCCTTTAAAATTTAGTAATATTTAACTTCAGTATGAGAGCTGAAGGCTTTAGGGGGGTATTTTGGGCAGAGTGACAAAAGGCATAAGTGGGTACGTATTAGTTTGACACATCTGTTGAAAAATCTGTTTTAACCACAGCTGATGGGATATTTGATAATTAATATGTTTGAAGTGTGCCTGGAAGTACCACAAGGGACACCTGAACATTTGAATAGGAGCAATTTTTGTGAAGCAAAACATGCAGTCTCCATGCACGTACTTCCACTCAAGGTGTACAGAACAAACAATGGCAAATATCAAGATGGTTCAGGCACAGAAAAAGAAGGTTCTCAGTTAAAGCACCAGATGTTCTGATTGGAAGATACACAGAGGAGGTGCAACATCCTACACCCGCAAGGGGTGAGGTGGAAAAGGAGGCCACTGAAATAACTCCACAGAGGCCGGTATCCTGTCACCAAGTCACCCTTTATATACATGTGCATAGTACGTGACACGAGCCTGGCTTCCTCAAAGCCAGCTCAGAGTGAACAGAGCCTCTGACACTCCTGTTGATATCTGTCAACTAGGGCTTCCCTGATTGGACCAGGTTAACATCCCCATTCAGGGAACTCATATTCTGAGGCCTACCTGGCTAACGTTGCTACAAATCACTACTGCCACCGAGTAAATAATGCAGTGGAGAGGGGATGAAAATGCCCTCAGGATGTGGCTCCAGTTCCACAAAAAAACTCAGATTACTTCACTTAAGTCCCTCAACCAATATCACTAAAAACAGAAAATCTGATTACTCATCTCACATTTTGTGGGACCTTGCTGCAAAAACGTGCTCCTTTGTTTTCTATATTGTAACGATATCTATGCTTTAAAAGTACATAATCTGTAATCCACTTTGCAACACTGAAGTCGTCAAATGTACAACAGAAATGCAGACTTTTTCTTCTTTTGCCATACCGTTTTAAGTTTGTGCTTTACTTTCATCTTGGTTCTATACTTGTAAGATTTCAAAAAAATAAAGTCTTGAAAGTTTGAGTGTTACCATCCTCTTCCTAACCATCTCTTAGTCTCTAACTGAGCTCAGCTGTTTGGGAATAGGATGGGATTTTGCATGCTCCCACAAAGGTCATCTGCACCAAAAAAACCTTGCACTTTCATAACCATATGTGCCAAACCATTTTACAGCCAAAGTACTTGTGATGTGTAGTCGTTATTGTAATGTAGGAAACACAGCAGACAACCTGCACACAGCAAAATCCCCATAAGCTTTAATGTAATTATATATTCTGCTTTTGACACGGATTGAATGAAAAGTACTGACTTGGACAGAGGATAACCCTCTGACAGTTCTTGGAAATAGTGCCATGATATTATTTACAACCTGTGAGAGCAGACAGGATCTTGATTTAGCAGGTCATCCAAATTATGACACCTCTGAAAGTATAGCACTTCCTCAGTATTGTACTGGAGTGTCAATCTAGAATGTTGTGTAGACGGCCTGTGACTTGAACCCATAACTTCAGTCGGAAGCACGAATTCTACCAAGCAAGCCAAAGGACTGCAGTGGTTCAAGACGACAGCTCACTAACTTCAACTAGGTATGGGTGATACATGCTAGCTTAACCATGAATGAATTTGAAAAACTGATACACAGGGAAGAGGCCTTGCTCCTAAGCATGGTTATTGGCTTCTTACTATGCTCAGGAGGGGGGCAGCAAAATTTCATCATTATACAAGTTAGAGAAGTTGGGAAAGTTTCATTTCAATCTGCAAGCTCCTGGACTCTAAGCAACCACTTCAGTAACAATTGTTTTTTGGTGTTTTAAACTTACGGCGCCTGTGTTCGTGTTGTATACTCTTTAAATTCAGCGTCGTGGATGGTGAAGTAAGGTCGATAGTCACAGCAGTATCTCAGGGGTTCAATACAGCTACAACAGAACACAAATACTGGCAAGAAATTAGGATACTACGTTCGGATGTACAAATTCTCTGGAGGAGTGGGTGGACAAATTTGCCCAAACAAAAACCTCAAAGCACTTTAAACAGAAAGTAGTCAACACAAAAACATTAAACCCCAATTAGCTTAATCCACTCTCCTTACAAATCGAATAGCCAAAAGGAAAAATATAAACTTAGTAAAATATAACCTTGTCCCAGACCACTCAGCAAAACTCTATTAGCTAGTTTCTGGAGTAAACAAGAATTTCATATAATATGCATCAAAATATATTGACTAGTTTTTTAACAAAGCAATTAGGTTCTGGAGCATCCCTTCTAATGTTTGATTAACATACACAAAATCAAGTAAACTGATTCTAATTAGAGATGGTCAAATACTCAAGACAAATGCTGTTGTTAGTGGCAGAAACTGTGGTGATTGTCCTTAGACAGAAATAATGAATAATAAATCAGGAGAAAAATGTTCCAGTGGTGCAGGTCACTAACCAGAGGACAGAAATTTAACAAAATTGGCAATGAATAAGAAATAACATGTGCATATTTTATTTTTTTCTTACATAGGTGAGCTATGATGATCTGGAACACACAACCCCAAAAAAATAGTGAAGGCAGGTATAACAATAACTTTGACAGCTGAATTAGATAAATGTTTGAAGGGGAAAAAGAAGATCTGTAGGGCAGGGAACCGAGACTAATTAGGCTCACAGGCCTCCTTCCAAGCTGCATCAGTCTGTGGTTCTAGTTTATTATGGAAATTGATCAGGCAAAAGCTTCTTGAAAAATACATGTTCTAACCCGGTTAATGAAGGTACAAGTGATTCTCAACATTATTTCTGATAATCAATTTTGTCGTCTGCATTAAAATTTCACAATTTGCCTTGAACTTAGACTAATCATTCCACAGTTTCCTAGGTCTATCTTGCCCCCCTTTTTACCCAGATTTCCAGGATTATACACTACATCAGGAGTTCCTCAATATCACAACACGGTCATTATTGGTAATTTGTCTATTCCCTCATATGTTCATCTTATCAAGGGTTTAGCCTTGATAATTTGCTGATGTATCTATACAGCTGTTGATTTTATTTCACCATTATTTGGAGAGCCAAAAGTGTGCACAATAGTGTAAATGAGGTCTGATTAAGGTTCTATTAACTTCTGTGTTTCTTTCCTGCATCTGCATTCTAAGCCTTTGGATATAAACTAAATATTCCAATTGACTTGTACAATTAAAGTAAGACTTCCCTACTCCTATACATCAATTTCATTGAAACAAGGGCCAACATTCCATTAGCCTTCACGATTACCTTCTCCACTTGTGTGCTTCATTTCTGTATTTCATGCAAAAGTACCTCCAAGTCCCTTTACGTTGCAGTTTTCTGCAGTTTTTCTCCATTTAATACTGTTCTTTTGTTCTCCCTTCCAAATTTGAATTTTCCCATATTATACTCCTTTTGTCGACGTGTTCCCACTTACTTAACCTATTAATGATCTTTCTGTAAGCTGTTTGTATCCCTGTTGCAACTTGCCTTTCCACCTATTTATGTCATCTGCAAATTTTGTTCCAGTACATTCACTTTGTTCCTCCAAGTCATTAATCTATATTGTAAACAGATGCAGTCTCAGCACAGATCCCTGTGGAACTCCACTGGAAACAGGTCACCAACGTGAAAAAAAGAAGCCCTTATTCCCATTGGCTGTTTCCTGCCCATCATTCAATTCTCCATCTATGCCACTGCATTTAAACTGTTCAAAATGGCACCAGAGTGTGGCGACAGTTGAAGTTTTTCACTGTATTTTACTGTACTTTTCACTGTAAAGTGTAATTGACAATAAATCATTCAACATCTTTTCCATGTTCTGGTTCTGCCAATTCTAATAAACTGTCTATAGACATGCCAAAATTCTTCAATCCTTTGTCACTTAATCTATTTTTCTTTATTCTTGCTTCCAAAATTTCTTAGCGAACGGCACTGGACATAGAACATTGCAACCCAGAGGATCACTTTTCAGTTTACCACCTCTGTGCTAGCTTTTCATCACCATAATCCAAAACAAATTTTGTTGCCCTGTCTCCATATGTCTATATTTTCATCCCGAAAAGTATTTATTTAGTTTTCCTTTATTGTATGCAATGGTATCTGTCTAATTTAATCCACATGGCAAAATATTCTGGACTCTAATAAGCAACTGCCTAAAGAAATTTCTTTTAACTTTCATTTTTTCAAAGATGATTTCAGATTGGTGACAACCTTAAACTTACAATTTCTCTTCCACCTCACCCACTCCCACTCCTCTCACTTTAAATATCAGAGCCAGGCAATCCTATAAAGGGCAGGTCTTGGATTATGAACTAAAATTGATTGCCCAAATTTTTTAAAATGGAAATGCTGAAAAAAGGATGGCCATAGTTTCGTTTCTAAATTTACAAATGACACTCAATTTGTAGGGAAAGTCAAGATTGCGTTGGATTGTTTTGGAAGGTACTTTGTTGATAGAGTTTAATGCAGACATTTAGGGATACGAAAGGAGGATGATGATATTGGAGTAACAGGAAAATAGTGACAAGAACAAATCAGGTAAAAGTTCTGCCAGTCATAATAAACACATCCCTGAAAAACTTGAGATTGTATAAGTCTCTGTTAAATTGATCTGCGCTATTTGTCATCTTATGTAAATAACATTAACTTGTCATTGTACAAAGTGTAGATCAGGTTGTACCTGGAGCGAGTGTATTTTTGGACCATCATGTTAGAAAAAAAAAGTACAGTCAAGCTGGATAAAGTACAAACAGTCTTAACAGAATGCATGATTTAGTGTCCAGAGATAAAACGGGTTAGGATAAGCTCACAGACTAACACTCTTTTCACTGAAAAGTAGGAGGTTGAGAAAGATATTTAAATTAATAAGGCTCAAGGGAGTTGAGGATTAGTCAGGAGCATTTGTTCAAAAGCAGAAAAAAAACAGGATGGAATGGGATTATAAATGAAGAAAGGGACAGGTGCAGATAACATGACATATGAGAAAGCATTGCTTCAATGAGATAGCAGTTTGTTGGCTGCAGAATCAAGTAGCTTACATCTGATGGTTGAAGTAGGAAATACCTAAATCTTGAATAAGCTATGTCTGAAGTGATTAATTACTAAATGTTATATTCTGTCAAATAATTTTGGTCACAAGACCTGTACTTTTTCAACAATCAAGGTATCCTAAAGCCTGGAGATACTTCCTGCATGGGGCTTCCTACTCACCTGGTCAGTGCCAGCACAAGATCTGAAGATATTTTGGGGGACGCTGCCATGATAATCACTGGTTCTCCAAGCAACATCAGCTCCCAAAGCATTTGGATATGTATCAAAATTGATTGGAAACATCTGACAAGAATAATTCATCAATAAAAGAAAATCAAAATTATATTTGGAAATAAAAAGTCAAATAAAGACTATGGTGTCCAAGAAACATATGATACCCTCAATCCCACCCCATCCACCTCATATTTCAAATCTCTTCTTTTGAAGACATATCAATTGTATCTTTCACTATACATAACATCTACCTCAATGTCTTAAATGGTAAAACAAGCTGATATATTATAGTTTAATAAGAGAAAATAAAAGAACTGCAGGTGAAATTTATGCTATAGCTCATAATGGCTGTTCCAAATAGGTTTTCCAAAAAGGTCAGCCACATATTTTCACTATAAAAATTTCAAAGATATCTGAATGTTAATACTGCAGCATGACAAAGTAGTCATTGGGCTCATGTTACATTATTAAAATCCATTTGCCGCATTGAAATTGCTCTCACCCAAAGAGATCCAACTCATGTACTGTGGGAATGACCAATGGAGCTGGCAACAGATTCTGTAGAAAAGGAAACAAAGCTATAAAAAATTGAAAATTTAAAAAGAAGAGGATCAAACAAATTAGAGATACACATAATATCTGCAATACAATCTGAGTAAAACATCCATCATTCATAATGTTACAGGCCCATCTAACAATTATGCATAGAATCAATGGAACAATCAAAAACAGAAATTGGACAAACCCAGCAAGTCTGGCAGCATCTGTCAAGAGAAAAAAAGTGTTAATGCTTCAAGTCCAGCGAGCTTGATCAATTCTTCTAATCTCCAGCATCCACAGCCGTTTTATTTTCGTAACAATGGACACTGAATAAACAATGAGTTCACCTATCGTTCCAATAATCATAAAGTAAAATATAAATAACCATCATAATTTAGGTGCGCTTTGAGAGAAACATTACATTTCGTGCTGCCAATTTGTGCAAGTTTACATCAAGTGTAGATACAGCATATTTTTTAAAAGAAGACAAATGCTTGCATATCGTGGCCAGAGGGCATGAAGAGAAATCCCAAAGAAAACCATCTTCTCTTCTGCATTTTCATGCTTAAATTTTCATTTCTTTTAAAAATACCAACCACGGTGCACTCAAAATGGCCCAAGCTAATCATATAATTGTATCTCCAAAAGCTTCTGAACTCCTTGCATTTTATAGGCATCCCAGCTAAATGTGTCACAAAGGACTTGGAGACAAGCCATCTGCTTCCAGCCAGCTGCAAACAAGACAAACATCAAGACTCATTATGCTAAAATGAACACCAATGTTTTTAGTTACCTTGTCACTCCACAATAGAAATGGAGAGATAAAGCTACACTGTTGCTGAACAAACTTCCAATTAACACACCAAGATAAGGCCTCAGCACCTGAAAACGTCTGTGTCACATAACTGAAATCTGAACTTGGATGAATTATTTAAAACATACAATTCTGGGATTCTAAGCCAGTTGTTTGACTTCCAGAGGGAAAGCAGGACTCCGACTGAAGTGGCAGCCTGCCTCAGACACTCCAATTCTGTCTTCAAGTTGGTGGCGAGTAAAAAAAGCCTAAACTTTGCCTCCAAAGAGGGAAAAAAAACCAACTGGGGCCAGCCCACCAAGAAAATTATTGGACAATGACTTCCAGGAAGTTTTAACTCACGTGAACTGATTTTTAATACCTCTGCATTTACCAAAACTTGCAACCTATCTCCTCCCTGGTTCTGACTTCCTTAAATTTGCTGAGTGAGTGTATGTGGATGGAGTAGCGAAGAAATTTACCTGCATTTTGAATGTTTCATTAATAAACCCATCTTTGATTTCATCGTAAGTTTTTGCAGGGGTTTCCTTCAAAAATTGGAATCCAAAATCCAGGGTTGGGGAACAACCTTCAGGCTACCTCATTAAAGGGATGGGAATAAAAAGGGAACAGCATAAATCTAACAATACCTCACTGTCATGGGCGTAAGAAGACAAAATCAAACATAATTAAATTCACCCCATTCTCTTTTTGTCTGTGACAATGAGAACATACAAATGGAGACGGACTCATTGCAGGCAAGAGGAGGAGAATGCCCTATCATAGCATCATAAAAATGCTAAGAATTTTAAGAGTTACAGTTATTATGGTTATCATTGGTCCTCCCTCAAATTCCATTCCAACACATTTCTCTTCAGTTATCATCTTTCAGTCACTGCATTAAGCAACTTCTCATTCTTGGTGATTGCAATCTTCTTGCCGACTTGGCTATTCCAACATTGTCCTGTGTAGTATCCTATCCTCCATGCTCTGAAAACTTGGTCTTTCAACACTTGGCTGACTTATTGCCTGATGCCTTGCTCACTCACATCTCACCCTTGATGACCTAGATTAATTCCTAGATCCCAAGCACCTCATCACTTTTCAAAAAAAAAAAAAAAAAAAAATCATTCAGACCTTTACAGCTATGTTGCACTTGTTCTGAGTCTTTGTCCTTCTCCATATTCCTCTGGCAATTTTCTAAATTTCCTTATGTTTGTTTTGGTAAAACTTCTCATGACACCAGGTTATAGTCCAACACGGTTATTTGAACTCAAGCTTTTGGAGCATAGCCCCTTTGTCAGGTGAAGTGAGAGAAAAGCACACGGGAATGGAATTTATAGGCAGAGAGATCAAGGTCAGAGAGATCAGAAGATCATACAAATGGTGTGAGTGGAGTGTTGAATAATAAGTCTTTGCAGGTGATCACAAGTGTCAGATGGTGTGGGTAAAGCTGAATAGTAAGCAAAGGCATAACAAATAATCCAATTAAACGAGGCAGAGAGATAATTACAAAAAATTAAAGATAAGGTGGTGTTGCAGACAAATGACATGACTGGAATAACATGATTGGTTAAACCATCTGCATTCGAATTTTATACCTAAGTAATAAGCAATCCAAAACTGTACAAACTAAGGTAGAGAGATCATAACAATTTATGAAGGAGATGGTGTCCAACAGGACAGTAAGGAAGATTTTACAGATATAGAACGTGTGGTGGGTCACATGCTGCATGACATGAACCTAAGATCACAGTTGAGGTCGTCTTCATGGGTACAGTACTTGACTATCAGTTTCTGCTCAGCAACTCTGAGTGAGCTTGCGGTAGAGCGCGGTATTGACGCAAGGCCCACAGATAACCTCACGATGCTGCACTTCACTAGCTTCCACCGTAAACATACTAAAGAAGCCATCCCCTACGGATAAACCTTGCGCATACACAGGATCTGCTCAGATGAGGAGGAAAGTGACAAATACCTGAAGATTTTGAAAGATGCCCTCATAAGAACGGGATACGATGCTCAACTCATTGATTGAAACTGGCAATGTGCCACAGCAAAAAACTACAATCACCTCCTCAGAAGACAAACACAGGATACGATCAATAGAGTTCCCTTCTTTGTCCAATACTTCCCCGGAGTGAAGAGACTACACCATGTTCTTTGCAGCTTTCAACATGTCATCGATGACAATGAGCATCTCGCCAAGATCATCCCTACAATTCCGCTTCTCATCTTCAAACAACCGCCAAACCTTAAACAGACTATCGTTCGCAGCAAACTACCCAGCCTTCAGGACAACATCGAACCCAACAGCACACAACCGTGCCATGGCAAATTCTGCAAGATATCAGATTTTCAACATTGGATACTACCATTACACGTGGGAACACCATCCACCACGTACACAGCAGTGACTCAGCCAACATTGTCTATCTCATACACTGCAGGCAAGGATGTCCCAAGGCATAGTATATTGGAGAGACCATGCAGACGCTACAACAACGGATGAATGCATACCACGCAACAATTGCCAGACAGGAATGTTCCCTCCCAGTCAGGGAGCACTTCAGCGGTCGAGGATATTCAATCTGCAGGTAAGCAACCTCCAAGGCAGCCTTTGAGATATACAACAATGCAGAATCGCCAAGCAGGAACTGATAGCCAAGTTTCACATCCATGAAGATGGCCTCAACAGTGATCTTGGGTTCATGTCGTGCTACATGTGACCCCACTACACTGTTCTGTATCTATAAAATCTTCCTTAGTATTTTTTTTGACACCATCACTTCAATTACTTTGCTTAGTTTTGGATTACTTATTACTTCGGTTAGACCCTCAACAGGCGAATCTGGTGCCTATCATGTTATTTTAGTCATTTGGTTTGTCTCCAACACCACCTTATTTTTAATTTTTTGTAATTATCTTTCTGCCTCATTTAATCAGATTATAGGTCATCCCTTTGCTTGTTATTCAGCTGTTGACACTTTACGTACACCATCTGACATTTCTGATCACCAGAGACCTTATTATTCAAACACTTCACTCACACCACTTGTATGATCTTTTGATCTCTCTGCTCCTAAATATCTCTGCCCATAAATTCTGTGCCGGTGTGCTTCTCTCTCAGTGCACCTGACAAAGGGGCTATGCCCAGAAAGCTTGTGTTTTCAAATACACTTGTTGGATCATAGCCTGGTGTCATGTGACTTCTGACTTCACATAAGATAGGAATAGAAGTAAATCATTTGACCCCTCAAGCTTGCACTGCCATTTTAATAAGGTCATGGCTGATTTGTTCTCCTCTAACTATTTAGTAGTTACATTCATCAGCCCTGTTAGCATCTTTTAAGGTTCTCAATTCTTCTCAAACTACCTTTTTGCCTCTATAGTGATGAAATAATCTTAAAGCAAGATGTTGCAGATGCTGAAAATCTGAAATGAGTCAGAAAATTCACTAAATACTCAGGTTAGGCAACATCTGAGGAGAGAGAAACAGAATTAATGTTTTCAGATTTGAAATCTTTCATCACAATTTCTTTATCTGTAAGCGCCAGCAGACCAGAGTACTTGTAGCATTTTGTTTTAAATTCCATTAAATGAAATAGCTTAATTTTTAATAATTTGTTGTTAATTGCTGCACCCCAGGATCATCATCAGAAAACAGATCAGGTCCAATGCACGTTGATGACACTCAAATCTATCACACTACCATCTCTCTCAAAGTTACCACTGTCCTTATTTTTCATGGTGATGGTATCCAGAATTGGATCAACAGACATTTCCACAAATATTGCCTTTGGTGCCTGCCACAAACTCCTAGCCATTGACTCCATGCATCTCCCTGATAACTGTCTGAGGATGACATGGGCTGTTCATAATCTCAAAGTCCATAAAATGTATTATTTTAAAAATAGCAGTTTGCATGCAATGTTCACTTAAAACTGTTCAAGAAACAAAACTAAAGCATACAGTTTGCTTTTTTTAATGAAAGCAACCATTGTTGTATCCTGCTTTGTCTGTAGCTGTTTCTAGGTGTCAAGAAGTTCACACTTGTCAAGAGAACCTCAGTGCTATTTGATTCAAAGATGATCTAAAATTCCTTCAATCGTTAAGATTTTCTCTTTCCATATATACAACATTGCACTCCTACCTCAGCTTACCTGCTGCTGAAATTCTCATCCAAGTATTTGATATCTCCAGATTTAACTAACTCAATATTGTATTGGGTAACCTTCCACCTTCCATATCAGAAACTTGAACTGATCCAAAATGCTGCAACCCATGTTCTAACTTGCACCAAATGCCATTCACTCAATCTTGTGCTCAATGGACTGGTTTATAATCTGACAATGCCTGGATTTTAAAATTGGTTTTATTCCAAACAACTTCACAGCCTAACCATACTCCAACTTAAACTTCCTGCAGTCATGTGACTCCAGACCCACACCAGTGTGGCTGACTCTTAATTGCCCTCTGGTTAATCAGGGATGGGCAATAAATGCTGGCCTAGCCAGTGACGCCCACATCCCATGAATTAATCAAAAACAAAAAAAAGTCGATAATCCTCTAACTGTGGCCTGTTACACAATCCCAGTTACCTTCATTCCAATATTGGCAGCCGCCACTTCAGTTGTTTAGGTCCTAAATTTTGGAATTCCCACACTAAACCTCCATGTCTCAACCTTTCTTTCCTCCTTTAAGATATCCCTTAAAAACTAGGTCTTCAATCAAGCTTTGGTCATTTGTTCCAAAGCACTCTGTGGTTCAACATGAAATTTTCTTCAAATAAAATTTGTGTCACAGGCTAGTTGCTGTTCTATTTATTAATCCATTTAGGATCATATTCATTTTGCACATACTTGCTAAAAACTTGAGAGAGTAGGAACTGCCGATGCTGGAGAATCTGAGATAACAAGGTGTAGAGCTGGATGAACACAGCAGGAAAGCAGACGTTTCGGATCTGGACCCTTCTTCAAAAGGGTCCAAACCTGAAGCATCACCTTTCCTGCTCCTCGGCTTGCTAAACTTGAGTTTCTACTTCCACTGCATGCTAAACAATTTTAATAGGATTTACCTTCGGAAAAACAGCTCCCACCACCATTGAGAATAACTAGCAGTGGGCTTCATGAGAATGTGCACTTTTGTCATACCTCCTGGTTAGATTGTTTGAGAGGGCTCGTTCCAAGTTTATCCTTTTTAGATGGAATCCGCACCTACCAGTGAATGGAAAAAATGCAAGACTTAAGGCAGAAAAAGGGAAACAGATGTAAATACACAATAAAGTTCCAGAATTCAGAATATAGGTACAACCAAAGATCAACAAAATTCTGTTAAATTTATAACTGGAAACTTTCAAACATGTTCATCAGTTTGCATCCATGAGGAAAATTTCATTGTTCAATATTGCTTTGGTCAAAGTTCACTGACCTCAAGTTTCTCAAAATCTCTCAAATTAATTCATTACAATATTTCATCTTATTGCTTTTTATTTCTGTACGGTGCTTAGATGATGGGAAAATAAGCACACAGAAAAAGGATCAATTGTCAAACATAGTCACATAACAGATTCACCACTTATTTAACTTCCAGTGTATCTTCTGCCTGAAACAGAAGTCTACATTACATACTTAACCAAGGAATACATGAGGGTAATGCTAGGTTATCTAGTGCTGTCGGCCAAATGGAACTAGGGTAAAGGTGATGATTATGTTAATTAAGAGATGATTAGGTGAGCACTTAACTGGGCGCATACATAGGGGAACAAGTAATCACTGCCACTGGAGTTGAGTAGTCAATGAGCAGGAATAAAATTCTGACTGAGAAAGTATTGTTTTTCGAACCAACATTTAACTTTTTGTATCCAGTACACTATATTTGAATATACTGTTTGAGTATCTTAGAGTAAAACTGAAGAAGAGAATAGAAATCCTCAATACCATGCTGGAATATGACAAATCACAAGAACTTTAAATCTCTGACATGCCATGCATTATGGAATCACAGAATCACAAACTTAATTTCATCAAGTTAGTGGCTAGTCTGTAATATCTAAGAGACTGCAGAGGGCAAGACTTCAAACCCAAGTTAAAAAAATGCCAAAGAAGAGAAACAAAGGCAGTTAGAAATGCTGCATTTTAGACTAGTTAAATTCCTAAAGACATTTCTACTTGGGTTACTATGCCAACATTCCCATGTTCCACAGTTCTATCCATTCTTACCTGAATAACCACTCCCATGATAGGCAGGCTGAGTGTTTTTCCAGGGAGTGGAGCTGGCCATTGGTCTACCTCATTACAAACTGCAAACAAAAAACAAGAAAGTTTACTGTATTCAGAATTCAACATTTTGTCCAAATGTTTTCTTCAACTATATCTTTTTCTCAATTAAACTTTTTCCAGAATTGTTCCCACTTTAATGAAAAAGGCCCCTTGGGGATGAGCAACGATTAAATGATCAAATTCTTCATCGAGATGGAGAGTGACATGGTTGATTCCGAGAGTAAAATCCTGAATCCAAATAGAGGAAACTACAATCATATAAATATTAGGGAATGCTATTTAAAGGGATGACGATACAAAGGCAACGTCAAACATTCAAAGAGTGCACGGGTGAACTGCAACAATTGTTCATTCTTTTATGGTGCAAAAGTAAATAAAAAAAGTTGGCCAAACCATGGATTACAACAGAAATTAGAGATTGGATTATATCCAAGGAGCAGGCATACAAATTGGCCAGGATTATATCCAAAGAGCTTGCATACAAATTGGCCAGAAAAAACAGATCTGAGAATTGGGAGCAGTTTAGAATTCAACAAAAGGAGGACAAAGGTTTTGATTAAGAAAGAGAAAATAGATTGAGAAAGTAAGCTCCCAGGAAATATACAAACTAACTGTAAATGCTTCTATCGGTATGCGAAGAGAAAAAGATTAGTGAAAGCAGACTGTGGGCCCCTTACAGTCAGAAAGAGGGGAATTTATAATGAGGAACAAAGAAATGTTTGAGCATCTAAAAATACATTGGTTTTGTGTTCACAACGGAGGATACAAATAACATACCAGAAAAAAAATCATGAGGGACATAGATAAGATGAATAACAAAGGTCTTTTCCCTAGGGTAGGGGAATTCAAAACTAGAGGAAATAGGTTTAAAAAGAGAGGGGAGAGCTTGAAAAATGACCTGTGGGGCAACGTTTTGACACAGAGGTGGTGCATGTATGGAATGAATGGCCGGAGAAAGTGGTAGCAGGTGTAGTTTATATTTAAAAGACATTTGGACAGGTTTAGATAGATATGATCCAAATGCAGGCAAAATAGGAAACAAAAACAGAAGTTGCTGGAAAAACTCAGCAGGTCTGGCAGCATCTGTGAGGAGAAATCAGAGTTAATGTTTCGGGTCCAGTGGCAGCATCCATAGTCCTTTCGGTTTTTCCTTAGCAGGCAAATGGGGACTAGGTTAATTTGGGAAACCTGGTCGCATGAATGAGTTGGACCGAGGGAGTCTATTTCTGTGCTGTGAGACTCCAAATGCTGAGGAACAG